CCGGTTCCGGCTACCAGCCCCCCTGGCTAAAAGCGGAAAACCCAGGGTTTAAGTCGGGTCTTGGTTGACCAGGCCGGTAGTGGAGGCCACGGAAGCTGGAGGCGGACGTCGGAGGCCGGATTCTGAAAGGCCCCATTCATGGCGGGACATATTACCGGGTGTACACTAGATGCGGGCCATCCGGGAGGATTGTGGCTGTGGCCCGAGAGGATTGTGGCTGTGGCCCGAGAGGATTGTCGCTGTGGCCCGAGAGGATTGTCGCTGTGGCCCGAGAGGATTGTCGCTCTGGCCCGATCACGTCGTTTGCCTACTAGGGGCAGGGACTCCTTTCACCGGCAGAGAGCATGGTGCCGCCGGCTGCACAGCTGGCTCACGTCGGTGTTTGTTTTACACTCTAGACTGTGAATGAGGCTACTGGAGAAGCACCTTAAAGGGGGACAGAGGGTAAGTTCAATGTAATTTACAACTTCCTCTGCCCAGTGCCCACAAGACATTATCTCCACGCCCACTGCAGATCTGCTTCTCCGCCCTGCCTTTCCCGGGCCGTTCACCCAGCTGATGGACACCAAAATGTGGGTGTCATCCTTGATGCCTCTTCATCCCCTGCAAGTATCAACATGGATAAGTCTTATAAATACAGTCTTCAGTGGAAAGGAAATTGAAACACATATATGCTCTAAAAGGAAAACTTGCAGCAGCTCCTACCTGGCTTCTAGATTATCAATGTTTACCAGAGCTGGTTCTGGACAGCCACAGGTGGTAATGACTAAGAACTTGGAGCGATTCCTACCGGAATTGCTAGGCTCTCATCAACCTAACAGAAGACTCTCCTGAAAAGCTTAATACCCTCTAGGTCCATCCATGTTGTCACAAACCAAAGATGGGACTTGTTTTAACTAGCTGGATGGCTTTAGGGATTCATTTCTCTCTATGCAGGTTATGCAGGTGCAGGCTTCAAACCTTAAGGTATACCCCCCATGATAGACTTGAAGGACTTGAACCACAGAAAATTAAGTAAATTTCCTACAGTCCTAGTCCTTGGTAGATCTGTTATTTGAAATAAGGTCTGTCATACACCCTTAGCTCTACATGATGCTGCCTCTTATAGTGTCATTTCTCAACCAAAATGCACAGCTCTTCTGTGTGTGTGTAGTTCATCATAAAATATAAAATAGGGTCTCTGAATTGCAACCAAAAGAACTGTTTAAGATGTCTCCCACAACTTTTTCACATTCTGTCCAATTTGGGCTAATCATATTTATACTCACCTTGCCATATAACTTACTCCATATCTCACTCATCACAAATTTTTTAAAAGTCAAATGAAAGGAACTGCTTTCTGCTCTGTTTCAATTAGTTCTACACAATGAGTTGTGTTTAGTAATGTTTCTAATGGTATTAACATATTTTAGGAGAAACTCAGCATTTTTTTCTCCAACCACCCCCCCTTCCCTTTGACAATCAGCTTGTTCTCTGTATCTATGGGTCTGTTTCTGTTTTGTTTTATTTATTTATTTGTTTTGGTTTTTTTAGATCCTGCATATAAGTGAAATCATATCGTATTTGTCTTTCTCTGTCTGACTGATTTCACTTAGCATAATCCCTGTAGGTCAATCCATGTTGTCACAGATGCCAAAATTTCATTCTTTTTATTGCTGGGTAATATTCCATTATATGTAGAACCACATCTTCTTTGTCCATTCATCTATCAATAGACACCTAGGTTGCTTCCATATCTTGGCTATTATAAATAACACTTCACTGAACATAAGGCTGCATATATCTTTTCAAATTAGTGTTTTTGTTTTCTTCAGGTAAATACCCAGAAGTGGTATTGTTACCAGGAAACCTCAGTGGGGTTTGGGCTGCCTATCGCTGTGTCCAGTTCAATGGAGGCAGGGTTGAATCATATAAGGTGTTTATTGAGAAGTCCAGCCAACCCAGAAGACAGGGAGCATATGAGCATCCAAAACCTGTCTTAAGGAGTGGCCTGAGGGATAGGGTTATATGGGGCAAACTGAGGCTGGGAACAGAACATTGCTACCTGCAGTCCTGGAAGTTCGCAGATGTCATTCTTGTCATTCTTTTGTTCTTGGTCGTCAGGTGATGACGCGATATCTTGACTCACTGTTGGGTCGGCCTGACCATGCATCTTGGTCATCTGGCAATGTCTGGATAAGGGGATTATCTTAACTCATTGTTCACAGCTGCATCACCTTCTTAATTGCTTCGTCTGGGATCAAGGGGAGTGTACGGGTGCAAAGGCATAGGAGAAAGAAACTTAAGACAAAAAGAAACATAAATCCCTGCTCACATACGTATATGTGTTCTACAATTTTATAAGTAATATAATTATATTTCAGATTAATTCAGGTGCTCAATCTTTGGACATTATAAGTGCCCCTATCAGTATTACTGGGTCATATGGCAGTTCTATTTTTAATTTTTTAAGGAATCTCTGTACTATTTTCCACAGTGGCCTCACCAATTTACAGTCCCATCAACAGTGCACGGGGTTCACTTTTGTCCATACCCTTGCCAACACTTGATTTTTATTTTTTTTATAGCCATTTTGACAGGTGTGAGGTGGTCTCTCATTGTGGATTTTTTTTTTTTTTTTCCATTTTCATAAGAGTTTATTTGAACCAAAATGAGGACATATGCCTGGGAGAAAGATCTCAGTTGCTCTCTCATTGTGGTTTTAATTTTCATCTCTCTAATGATTAGTGATGTTGAGCACCTTTTCATGTCTGTTGGCCATCTGTATGTTCTATGGAGAAATGTCTGTTCAGGTCCTCTGCCCATTTTTTAATTGTATTGGGGTTTGGGGGGATCTTTCGGAGGAGGGTTGTTGAGTTGTATGAGTTACTTATATAGTTTGGATATTAACCCCTTATTGGATATATCATTCGTGAGTATCTTCTCTCATTCAAAAGGTTGTCTTTTTGTTTGGTATATGGTTTCCTTCATTGTGCAAAAACTTTTAGTGTGATTTAAGCTTTTAATTAGGAGCCCACTGAATTACTGGAACCCTGAACCACAAACGTGTAAATGGGGTGTCACCAAGAGTGTGTGAAGAAATGAGTTCCAATTTCTAGATTTTTAGGAGTATTTTATAGCTTTGTTTAAAGAGTGATAGCATCTATTCAATAAACCTTTCTCCAAGAAATTAACAAGTGAGATTATGAAAAAAAATGCCTATTTTCTCTAACTATCCTATATGCCACGTTTCTAGGACTTCACATGTTAGCGGTAATAATAACATTAGCAAAAGCATACCATGTGCTTGTTATATGCCAGACACTATTCCAAGTGCTTTACATAGAGGAACTTATTTAATCTTCATACAACCCTATCAACAAAGACTATTATTATATCTTGCTTTTACACTTTGTGGAAAGTAAGGGAGAGAGAGGTTATCTAACTGGTATAAGGTTAGTACATGGCAGAGCTGCATTATCTCCTTTAGACTCTTCTCAGTATTGTGACCAGAACAGTCCTGTTACAAGTCTGCTTGTGTCACTATTCCTGAGCTCAAAGCCCTGCACACTATCTCCTTGCCTTCAGCCCCTATTCCTATCCCCTTGCTCATGCCACTCCAGCCTCCCTGCTCCCACCTCCTAGCACTCCACGTGCTCCTTCATCTGCCAGGAACCTTCTCCCCAGATAATCCCTCACCTACTCCCTCCCGGCCTTTAAGTCTTTATTCAAATGTCACCTCAACCAGGCCTTCCTGAATTACCTTATTTAAAACTGCAACTCATCTGCATTTCCCCCCACAGCTTATTTTTCTCCATGCCACTTACCCCCAATATGCTATGTAATTTACTAAATGTCACCTCCCCACTTCAACATGTAAATTCCCCAAGAGTGACGATTTTTATGCAGCACTTAGAACAGTGCCTGGCTGGCACGTAATGGGTGAATAGCTAAATGGATGGGTGGGGGGAGTGAGAAGTGAGAGGCTAGTCTGGAGAGGAAAGAATGAAGTCAGCATGCAGAGTCCGAGACAAGAGGAGGGACAGGTGGCCATGGCTACACCCTCCCCTTTTTTGGGTTCTGGTTCTCTTTCTGCCCTGGGTCCTGTCAGACACCGGTCTTCTTGTCATAAATCCACCCCCTCTGGATAGCCAGACTTAGTTTTTGTATTTTGCAGCTAAGAGTCTTTCTTATGTGAGGTAGCACCCTGTCGCCTCTGCCAGAAATGCCGTCTTGTCCTTGGCCAAAAACTCAACCTTCTCTTTTCTAAAGTCGTCAAGCTGCCCGGACCATCCCAGCCATTCATGCAATAAGTTATTTACAAAGCTTTTGTCCTTTGGGCAGGGATCATGTTTTTCCTTTCAGCCCCCAGAATCCGGAATAGTGCTTGGGACATGGTGAGCACTTAATAAACAAATGGAAGGGAAGATATGGGTCACATATGGGGCATTCTAAATATTGAGGAGTGAATTTGTAATGAGGATTTGTTCATACACAGTATCAAAGTAGATAATTCAGTACCTAAGGTTAAGACTATATGCAAACTGTACATTTCTAGGAGGAAAAAGGAAACAAATCGACCTGCTTCTCCCAAAATGAATCACATATTTCAGTGTGAACTGTTAGCATGTGGGAAATGCAGTGGCCTCCAAGTACACTACAGGCAAAATCTGCGAGAGGTCATGGAGGAGAAAGGCTCACAGACCATATTTAAATGTCCCAGTCACATGGTTAATTAAATTTACAACAATGGGAGAAGGGGAAAGAGATGGGATAAATAAATGCCTTAGGAGAGGCTCCAAGCCAGCTGAAAGGACCATGCTACCTAATCCTGCATCACAGTGTCACGTCCCCCTGCTCCTCTCAACAGTTCTTCCTCCCGATGGTTCTGAAGATCAGAGGTTTGAGCAAGGAGAGCCGCAGAGGGAACCACCCCACCACCACCACCCAAGCCATGACACACACTTGCCGCAGCAGAGGCAGGCACCGGCAAGCCGGGTGGGTGGCTGCACCTTGCCTGCTGGCCTGTGGAAGAGCTGTGTTTTATTGCCTAATCATGCAGTTCATGTATTAGGAACGTTTAGTGCTCAGACGTTGCATGTATGTTTAGGGCCTGAGAAGACTGGGTATCTCAGACCTTCTATTCCTTTCTATCCTTTTTTTAAAAAATTTTTTTATTGATTTTAGAAGAGAGGAAGGCAAAGGGAGAGAAACATAGATGTGAGATACGTTGACCGGCCACCTGCAGCAACCCGCTCCTGGGGATGGAGCCTGAAACCCGGGGCTGTGCCCTGACCGGGATTCAACAGGCTACCTCACCCCCCTTCCGTGCATGGGACTATGCTCAGCGGACTGAGCCATACGGGCCAGGGCCTTTCTATCCACTTCTTTAACACGTTCTATTTACTAACTACTTAGTCTATCTTATGAATTCTGCCTATGTTTAATAAACTCTGTTTACTACCTACTTATACTTCCATCCTAAAAGCTTTCCTCTGGTTTACAAATGCAGTAATTGTCTTTAATAGAATTAAATACTCTCAAAAGCAAATGTCCACAACTGTATTGTCTATACCACATAAAAAACCCTGCTGCCTTTGCCATAGTCCAGGTTAGATGGTGTAATGTGAGCCTCTTAATTAGACCATCAAACACTTATTCGGGCACAAAACAATTCCTAGTATAGGCATTCAAGTGAGAAGAGAGACAAATGCATTTAGAGATGGCTTTGCACATTCTGATGGTAGAAGGTGATGTGTCCTCATCACCTTCCACCCAGGAGGGCAAGCTGGTCCTGCTCATCATGGCTACTATAAAAGGAATAGGTTTGGTTAGACCAACCAGGAGCCACACAGCTGCAGGCACGAGAGGGAAAGGCAATGGCAATGGGGCTTTCATGGGGAAAGTGTCCACAAGAACCAAAACAGTTTATGAGTTGCATTAAAAACGTGTGATAGGGGAAAAGTTTTGCAAGTGTTTTCTGATAAGATTTTAATATCCAGAATACATAAAGGACTCCTACAAGTCAGCAACAAAAGACAACCACCCAGTTAAAATATGGACAAAGGACTTAGACATTTCTCCAAAGATAAAATACATATGGCCAATAAGCACATAAAAAGATATGCGACACCAGTCATTAGGAAAATGCAAATCAAAAGCACAGTGATACACTACTTCATGTCTACTGGGGTGGCTGTAATAAGAAGTGCTGGTGAGGGTGTGGAGAAATTGAAATCTTTGTGCCTTGCTGGTGGGAAGGTAAAATGGTGTAGCCACTGTGAAAAAGTTTGGCGGTTCCTCAAAAAGTTAAAAGAACAATTACCATGTGACCCAGCTATTCTATACCTAGGTATGTACCACAAAGAATTGAAAACACAAATGCCCACAGAGACTTGTATGCCAATGTTCATTGTTCATAAGAGCCAAAAGGTGAAATAACCCCCATGTCCATCAACAGATGAATGGATAAACCAAATATGCTCTATACATACAACAGAATACTATTTAGCCGTAAAACCACCAGATGTCCTTCAACAGATGGTTAATTTGCCAAATCAGGAGGGATTCCCTCTGGTGGCCTCAGGTATTTGACATCTGCACAGCTAATTAAAACCTAGAAATCCCCTATAATGTCTCCAAGTTATCCAGTAATCTATGAGGAAAGAAGTCAGGAAGAGATTATGATGTAATCAACCAGCTGAATTTAAAACTGTTCGATTAGTTGCATGAATTTTTTTGATGGCCTGAAATGGACACGCACACACACAAAATTGGATATGTCACTTTCCTGCCCTTAAATTATGTCATCCACTGGTTGGAAACAAAACAGTTTAACGAAGTTTGACCATCTCTCTAATAACCTTATGTACATAGCCCTAAACGTAAGTGTATGCTTTTATACATTTTTTATTTTTATTTATTTATTTTTTAAATATATCTTTCTTGATTTCAGAGAGAGGAAGGGAGAGGGAGAGAGAGAGATAGAAACATCAATGAGAGAGTCATTGATCTGCTGCAGCCCGCAACCGGGCATGTGCCCTGACCGGGAATTGAACCCTGATCGCCTGGATGCTAGGCCGATGCTCAACCGCTGAGCCACGCCCGGCTGGGCTATACATTTTTTATTTTACATGACTATAATTTTAAGTTGGTCCTTACATCCTGGGATGAAAATCATTTTATGCTGTTTGAACAAAACTGTATTTTATACAAAAATGAACAAAATCTACATTAAAATTACTAGAACCGTTTGAAGAAGCTCAAGGCAGTTTTTCATCATTTCCCCATTTAGGCGAACAATCTGAAAAACTCTCTTATCTACCTCTGGTCAAGAACGTGTGCAAGATTTTGTATTACTTAAACTACATTATTTTGAGAAAGATCTTTATTTGCTTTGCACGACAGTAAAAATTATATTACATATTAACATATATATCATGATAACATACTGCCCACTAAAAAGCTTCCCTCTTAGAAGAAATTTGGGAGTCAGTGCATTATTCATATTTTCTTCTTTTTCCTCTTCTTTTCCAACATTTCCCCCACTTTCCTCCTCTTGGCTGCCACCAGGCCACCTCCTTTCGTTGGCTTCTTGCTGCCACCAGTTACCCCACGTCTCTCCGTGTCAGGTGCTGACTGCCTCGCTTCTTTCTGCTCTGCGTCACCCGATTTCTTTTCACTGCTTTTGGGTTGTCCTTCACTTACTAAAACACAAGAGACAGTGCATTTAAGATCATTTATCCCTCTGGGGAAAAAATCACAGGTTGAAAATAAAGTGAAGTTACCTGGATCTCCTTCACTTCAACAATTCAAGAGGGAAGAGATTATTCAGTTTTGTTTTGTTGGTGTATATATATATATATGTATTTTAAATGTATCTTTACTGTTGAAAGCATTACAGATACCCCCTCTGCCAACTCCCCAGATCCCCTCCACCCCACATCTGCCTCCCCACAGGCTGTCCCCATATTATTGTCTGTGTCCATGGGTTATGCATATATGCATTTAAGTTCTTCGATTAATCTCTCCCCCCCACCCCCAAGATTATTCAGTTTTTTTAAATGAACAATTTCACTTACCAGGAGAAGGCTCTGCAGCGGGAGGCTGGCTTTCTTTCACATCTGTCACGCTGTCCAGCCACACTCCGAGACATGTCAGCCTGGCGTTAGTATTTACTTCACAAAGTAAAGATGGGGGGACTTTCTAAAACAAGCAAGAAAAATCCGTAACAACATAGGGGAATTTTAAATAGTTATTATTCTTTTTCCATAACCAACTCCTTAACTTAAAACACTGTATTTTCCTGAGAATAAAATATGCTGTTTAGAAGAAATGATCTGGATTCATGATTGGTTTGACTACATCCTTCACTGAGCCAATTTCTGACTACTCAGAAATTGTAAATTCACCAAGGAACAGGACCATGTCTTGATCATTTCTAGGTTTTAACAAAGAACCTTGCACAAAGTAGGCACTCGGCAAATCATATTCACAGATAATAAACTACGACTCTCTAGGAGAGGGAGTCCATCGAAGGGAATTTAATTTTCCAAGTATCTGGTTCAAGACTACTGTTGGTTCCAACATTAATCAGGAATTTCCAATTTTTTTTTTCCAGTAATGGTAGTATTTTATCCAACAAAATTTTACAGAGAACATCAATCTACAAAAAAGAAGAAAGCAGCACCTCTTGGACTGAGAAAGCAGGAGTTCTGGGATCCTGCCAGCTCAGACTCACGGTGCCCACCCCCGAGGCAGCTCCGTGGAACCCTAACTTTAAAATCATGAATATCAGCCACACCTGGAAGATCTCTGCCTATGACCCTTAAGAAAAAAATTCCATCTCACTTAACTCAAGGCAATACTGACAGACTTGCATTCAAGTGCATTTATATTGTGCTAAGACACTTACCTTATCCTGTTTAAGTTTCCACATTTTGATGAAACCATCACTCGATGCTGTAACAATAATATGATGCTCTAGAATTTCAAAACTGAACACGTCTTTTACCCTAGAATAGAAACATTTAACACCATAAATGATCCTTTCTTCAAATAGTGTGATATTCTTAAAAGCTTCTGTGCACACCAGCTCTTGATTTTTCAAGAACTATGCTTCACTTCCCAAGAGTCAGTCATTTTTCAGGGTCTAAATTCTAAGATAAAACTGACTGTTAACCATATCTTTAAAAATGTTGAAAAGCCATGGCCACTGTGGCTCAGTTGGTAGGAGCATCGTACCACACACCAAAAGGTGGCAGTTGGAGCACACGCAGGAGGCAACAAATCGATCCATATTTCTCTCTCACCCTTCCTTCCTCTCTAAAAATTAATTAAAAAGAAAAAATGATGATGGGGGAAGAGATTAACCAAAGAATTTATATGCATATATGCACAACCCAAGGACACAGGGGAGGGGAACTGGGGAGGGAGATGGGAGAGGGTGGAATGGGTCATTGGGGAGAAAAAGGGACATCTGTAATATTTTAAAAATAAATAAAGGCATTAACTTTAAAAAAAATATGATAACTACAATCAGGTTATCACAAAGGAGATAAAAGATACTGAGAGCCCCTCTTCTCAAGAAACTACACACTCAGTATGGAGAGAAAAGTAAGACAGAAATGAATCGAGACCTCCTCCTACACATCCATTCCTCTCATTCCAGAGCCACCCCACCCCTAGTCTAAGCTACTATAATTTTTTTCTGTATTATGAAGTAGCCTAATTGGCCTCTCTGCTTCCATTTTTGCCCCCTAACAATTTTTAAAAATGGAAATCAAACCACGTTACTCTGAGGCTTAAAATTCTACAAAGCTAGGATCTGCATTAGAATGACACAGGAAAGGAGGAAGCTGGTGGGGATATTTAGAAAGCAAGACTAACCATGAACTGACAACTGCTGGAGCTGGGCAGTGGAGATATAGGGGCCGGGGAGGGGGGGGGAGAGGGTGGAATGGGTCATTGGGGAGAAAAAGGGACATCTGTAATATTTTAAAAATAAATAAAGGCATTAACTTTAAAAAAAATATGATAACTACAATCAGGTTATCACAAAGGAGATAAAAGATACTGAGAGCCCCTCTTCTCAAGAAACTACACACTCAGTATGGAGAGAAAAGTAAGACAGAAATGAATCGAGACCTCCTCCTACACATCCATTCCTCTCATTCCAGAGCCACCCCACCCCTAGTCTAAGCTACTATAATTTTTTTCTGTATTATGAAGTAGCCTAATTGGCCTCTCTGCTTCCATTTTTGCCCCCTAACAATTTTTAAAAATGGAAATCAAACCACGTTACTCTGAGGCTTAAAATTCTACAAAGCTAGGATCTGCATTAGAATGACACAGGAAAGGAGGAAGCTGGTGGGGATATTTAGAAAGCAAGACTAACCATGAACTGACAACTGCTGGAGCTGGGCAGTGGAGATATAGGGGCCGGGGAGGGGGGGGGAGAGGGTGGAATGGGTCATTGGGGAGAAAAAGGGACATCTGTAATATTTTAAAAATAAATAAAGGCATTAACTGCCTTTAAAATTTTCCATAATAAAAAATTTTATCTGCCTTTAAAATTTTCCATAATAAAAAATAAACACAACAAAACCTACAAAGCCAGACTCTTCCCAACAGCCTCCAAGGCTGTGCAGCATTTGGCTCACCTTGATCTAGTAACACAGGTCTTTTATCTGTTCCTGAAATATACTCAGCTCTTCCCTCCGTCAGAGCCAGTGTGCCAGCAGTTCTCTCCTCTTTTTAAAAATGGTTCCTTAACACCCAGCTGGAGTGGCTGAGTGGTTGAGCATCAACCCATGAACCAAGAGGTCGCCGGTTCGATTCCCAGTCAGGGCACATGCCCGGGTTGCGGGCTCACTGTACAGGAGGCAGCTGATCAATGTTTCTATTTCTCTATCCCTCTCCCTTCCCCTCTCTCTAAAATCAATAAAAAAATTTTTTTTTAATAGTTCCTTAGGGATAAACTAAAGTCCCACTCCCCCTTCTCTGATCATGTTAACCAGGCCTGTATAGTGATTGCAATATTCTGAGTATTTACAAAGAGAGATTTCTTAAAACCTACATGTTACTTAGAAAATAAGAACTAAGACTTCCTTAAGATGTAGAATATGCAAATGAAACACACTGAAGTATAACTCTTTACATTATCACCTTTTCCAAAATTACAGTGGAAAAAGCAGAGGCAGAGTCAGGTAGAACTGGGTTTGGATCCCACCTCCATCAGCTAACAGTGGGTAATCTTGGCAAAGACACTTCGCTATTTACTCTGAGACTCAGAGTCTACCTCTAGAAATACTGTGAGCAGTAAGAGGTGACAGAGACTGGCACAAAACAGAAGTCTATAATGCCCTGCATTTCTTCTCTAGGGAAAACAAATGGGTGTAAAGGGGGAAGGCACAGACAAGGGAAGTAAAGTGAAAAGGCAAGAGTGGTTGGGGCAAAGCTCAAGACTTTCATTTTTTCCCCCCCGTTCAAATATGGTTAATTTCAGGCCCCGAGGCTAATGAAATTATTGGAAAAGTATCTTATGCAAGTGACTAGTTTTGACGACAACTTCACCACTTTTGCATTTACTAAGGCCAAGACATATATATGAAATACGTCTATCTCTGCAATTGTTCATAAAAAACATATACCTGCTTTATGAAACTATTGCACATAACATTTATTGAGAGTATACACACACATACAATAAACTGGTTTAAAAAAAAAATACCTGTTTTCATGAGCTTTAAATTCACAGAGGCACATTAATGAATCAGTGTCAAAAAACCTTACAACTTCTTCATCTCCAGCCACTGCAAGGACAGACTCCTGAGAGAAAAAGAGTAATATTCAGAATGTCAAACAATTCCAACCCTCACACATACACTAAAACTGACGTCCACCACTGATGTCTGATCACTTACTGAAAGAAACGTAACAGAAGATACTCTCTTTTCATTTGTGATGGTGCCACTAACAGATGCTGTGTCAAGATGATAGACATCTATTTTATTCAGTATGACAACTACATATTTCTCTCCTCTTGGGGACCATTCCACTATGTGAGCATCTGTAAGTTAAAAAACAAAGCCTTTTCATTTCATAAATAAAAAATAAAATGAAAATAATACTAAAAATAACAAATATTTATACTGCATATTTTCACATCCATTATCCTGCTGAATGTTCACAACAAACTTATGGTACATATTTTTTTAGTTCAATTTTAGACAATAAACTGGGTTCAAAGAATCATTCAAGGTTAGAGCTGGTAGGTGGCAGAGCCACAGGAATCCCAATCTAAAATGAAGCAAGTAACCCAAAGCATTTGCTCTCACACGTAACCACCATCAAGCAGGCAAAAAAATGTGCATACGCCTGCACAGGAGTGTGTGTATTCACATTCCATCAAGTAAGTTATCACACAATACACTCCAAACAAAAACACTCACTCTGGCCCCAGCCGGTTTGGCTCTGTGGTTAGAGCCCCGGCCCACAGAGAAGGGTCCTGGGTTTGATTCTGGCCAAGGGCACGTACCGTGGCTGCAGGCTCGGCCCGTCAGGGCTCGTGCAGGAGGCAACCAATCGATGTGTCTCTCTCACATCAATATTCCTCTTTCTCTCCCTCTCCCCCTTCTCTCTTTCTCCCTCCCTCCCTCCCTCCTTCCCTCCCTTCCACTCTCTCTGAAAAGCAATGGAAAGACTATCCTCTAGTGAGGATAAAAAAAAAATACTCACTCTGTTTAATATTTTTTATGAATGCCGATCTTCCTTCCACAAGATTCCATGTTCTGTAAAACAAGAAGCTCACTTATGGCACAATCATTAACTTTTACTAGATATATAACATTAATGAAGACGTACTCAAATGACAACTTACTAAATATGTGGCTATTCAGAAGAATGGCCACTTTCCTAAAGCAACATCTGAAACATTGATTAGCAAGATTAACTCATTAAAGGGGCATTCCCACATCTCTTTAACATATTTTCAAAAGGTGCCCCTCCTAAAGCATTTCTTTTTAGGACCACAGTCCTCTTCACAGCTTATAAGGACTGAAAGGTAATGTGTATGTTTGAACATAGAGCTTGTCATTTTCCCTCCCATTAGGAAAAGGTTCACTAGCTTTCAACCTTTCCTTGCAGTACAATGTTTCTGGGTTCCTGTTGTACTTGGAGAACAAAGACCACAATCAAGTAGAGACATTCACTTGGGCATTAATAACTTACCTTAATGTCTTATCTGTACCCACAGACAGGGCCAACTTGCCAGATGGGTGAATAGAAAGGAAGGTCACATGTCCTCTGAAAGGAAACCAACAGTTAGCCCCCCACCTGACTGGCACCTGGAGACCGCCAACCAGAAAGGGCAGGACTCACTTGTGCGCCTTAATCGACTTCAGGCACTCCCATTTCTTTGCATCCCAGACACAAATGAGTCCGTCTTCTGCCCCACTGATTAAGTGCCTGTTGCCGTGGAATTTCAGGCAAGTTATCGTGCCTGTGGAAAAACAAAATAGGCAAAATTAATACTCAAAAGAACTCTTTTGAATGCAAATTCCACTTCTAGTTCAAAGGCTATGCTGTGCCAAGTAAAACCTCCAATGTAAGCATTACTGAATTAAACCTTAACGTCTTATATGTACAAATTAACTTTTTAAATAATTTCAACCCTAGGCAAGTATTTTCAGCAGAGTTTCTCTAGTTGTAGATATAGATTTGAACTGACTAGCTCACTTTCTTGCTCTACATACCCATAATAAATTTAGGAGATAGCTGGTAAGAATGTTTGAGAACTAACCAGCTAACAACTAACCTGGGGGACAAGCTGACATGTACAGCATAGAACTTCTACTTTCTAAACTGTCAGTCAGCCACCCCGTTATCCACAATCCAATTATCACTCCAGAGCTGTGTCTGATTGGTGTCTACACAGTTCTCATCCAGTCACAAGAACTTAAAATGTTACACTCTTCCACTCTCCCTCTATCCCCTTCCCATAGTTCAAATATGAAAAGGCTGAAGGAGGTGAGCTGATGTAAGAATGCAGCATTCCTCTAGCTCCCCAAAGCAGTCCATGCCGTTATACATTGACCCTCAGGTAAAACTCCTATCCTCTGAAGCTGTGTCAGCCATCGTACAGGGGTCAGGAGGCCAAATCTGGCTGGAGGAGTTTTTGTAAATGCACTTTTACTGGAACATAGCCTTACTCATTCAGGTACAAGACACCTGTGGCTGATTTCACACTACAACGAAAGACGAATAATCTTAATAGGGACCACATGGCTACAAAGCCTAAATATTTACTATTTTGTCATTTATGGAATAAGGATGTGAACCCCCGGATCACTGTTGTTCATCTGCACACCTCCCGGTCAATCCTTTACATTGCCCTTCAGATGGACAGAACCAAAGGTCTCTGATGAATAATTCTGTACCACCAGCCCCCTTCCCGCACTAAGACAATACGGGCTCACAGACCACCTTCTCCTCAAAGCTTTAGCTATCTTGGCCCGTGTTTTCCTGCTTCCCTATTATCCCATTTCTGACTCTGGATATTTTGCTTCCCCACATCTTTTACTCCTGCCCACGACTCCATCTGCTCCCTGGAAAAGAGCTTATCTATTACCAACTGAGAGAAAACCCAGATTTCTATGAGGAATAAAGGAAGCCAGGGGCCCAACCCCCATCCAAACTCCTTCTAAGTAAGTGCTTTTCTTATTATTGGGTGTGGACAGACCAGTTTTGTTTAAATTATTCTTCTAAGCCTTAGAAAGGGAGAAGCCTCCTTTATATAAACTGGAATTAGAAGAGAGGAAAAGAAATATATGTTGAAATGACTCAAAGCCTAGCTTATGTTGAAAAGCAAGATACTTCACAAAGTAGCTAAGGACCACCTAATATAAGACGATTGATCACTCCAAATTTGTTGCTAGACAACAATGCTTGGGGTGGAACTTCTGAAATATATGAAGACAGGAAAGGAAAAAGGGTACTTGTCTTTTTTTTTTTTTTTTAAATATGTCTTCATTGATTTCAGAGAGAGGAAGCAAGAGGGAGAGAGAGAAACATCAATGATGACAGAGTCACTGATCGGCTGTGTCTTACACACCCCCGACTGGAGATCGAGCCTGCAACCTGGGCATGTGCCCTGACCGGGAGTCAAACCCCAATCTCCTGGATCCTAGGAGATGCTCAACGGGAGCTACGCCCAGCAGGGCGGGTACCTGTCGTAACTGCAGGAAACCAACTTCCTTGGCTCAGTTTCCCTAAACTAAGTATATATCTAACTGAATCTACTAATTTGAGTTCTCTCTTTCCATTTTTCATTCTCCTGAACACGTTAACCCCTCATTCTCTGTCTCCTGGGAAAAACAATAAAAATAGAATAGAATGTTCAATACTGAGAAAGTAAATTATCTGTTCAGTCTATTTCTTGATCTTGCCACTGTCCTGCGCAACTGTACCACCTGTGGGGAAAACCCCCCCATGACTTGGGAATCGCTATTTCTTGACTTCCTCCAGTCTAGTGACCTTTGCTGTCTCTGTATTTTAGTCCCTCAAACCCAGTTACCACCTAGGGCTGCTCCACATCAGAGAACTCTAAGGATCTAGTCTCTGACCACAACCTCACATCTTCCCAGCCCTTTCATGCCTTCCATTACTCACATTCTGCCTGCTTTCTTCAGAGATCTGCACACCCTTAACAACCCGTTTTCCCTAAGCTGAAAACCTAAACTATTATTTCACCAAAATCGATTCCCCTGTAATTTAATCCTTCTATTGTACACAATAACTTTCCTTGCTGTACAGAAATGCCGGCACCTTACTGCAGTGATGCTACTAAATCCATAGCCTCCGAATTCAACTGGGCAGCTCTCATTGGTCCTTCGGCTTATCTTTCGTATCCAGCATCTCTTTCGTATCCTAACTGCCAGCATGTCCCTCAAGTCCGACCATCCCTCCCTCGCACTCAATCCTTAACCTCCTCCTCTCCAGGACCACCAGGGCCTGGCCCCATCTACTTCTTCAGTCACCTTAACCTTCATTTCAACCTTCTTGTAATACTGACCTGCTTACAGTTCCCCCATGCACACTAGTGAGCTCTTGCCCCTGGCTGGTGTTTCTTGGTGATTAGAGTATCAGTCTGCATACCGAAGGGTTGTGGGTTCAATTCCCAGTCAAGGGCACATACCTGGGTTGCCGGTTTGATCCCAGGCCCTGGTTGATGTGCATGCGGGTGGCAACCAATCAATGCCTCTCTCTCACATGGATGTTCCTCTCACTCTGTCTCTCTCCCCCAGCTCCCCTGCCCACCTCCCTTCCTCCATTCCACTCTCTCAAAAAATCAATGGAAAAAATATCCTCGGTGAGGGTTAAGAATAACTAACAAACCAACAAATACAGGCTCTATACCTAGGTTCAACTTCTAGTTCCATTGTTTTGTGACTTTGGGTAAGTCACGTAACATCTTTGAACCACGATTTTCTCTTCCCTAAGCTGAAAACAGAATTGTACCTTTCTGGTACACTGCTGGGTACATGACACCCCTTCAGTAAAGTCAGCTATCAACATGACGCTGCTGCTTGTGCTCCCCATGCTGCCTGCTCTTCCTGGAATGCCCTCCCTCTCTGCAAACGTCACCTGGCTAACAACTGATATTTCTCTTTTATGGTAATTCAGATGTCATTTTAAGGAACTTTTCAGTGAAAATTCATTTCCTCCTCCTTCCCCTCCAGACTGAGTTAAGTGCCTCCCTTCTGTCTCTCAGTACAGACTGTGAACAACTTATGGACAAAGAACCTCATGGGGGTTTTTCCCCGTTTCTCTATTTCCTAGCACAGAATCTGCTTGATGAATTGTGCAACTGAAGTCAAACTGTAAAGTAACAATACCTCAACATTATTATCTTAAAGGATATCATTTCTTACCATTGTGATGCACTAGAGCCCCATGGTCTATCTTTTTTTTCATGTCATAAATGTGAATTGTTTCATCTTTGCTCCCAGTGACTACAAAACGACTATTTGCAGCCACCGCTGACAAGGAGGCCGTGTGGGCATGGTGCGTGAAGTCAGCCACAGGAGTCCATTTCTGCTGAAGAGTAAAACAGTCAATGTCACAATCATATCATAGTTCTCTAGAAACAGGTAAGTGGTTCCAGGATCCACGAAAACTACCAATGGATCTTACAAATGGAGAAAAAACTATGCAATGACATGTAGATTAAAACAAAGAACCAGATAACTGAATAAGGAAGGTAAAGCAAGAAGATGGGACTGTGGTGCTATGTATGATTGCAAAACAGTTATGAAGACCAGACTACAGGGACTTTAAGTTCCCAGCCAAAGCCTTAACTCCTTATTATATTTACTTATATGTGAGACTCACATACTTATGTTTACTCATTCAAATGTTCAATTTTGATTTGAATTAATTCACTCAAAAAATAAGTGCCTAGCATCATTTTAGGCAGTTGATACACAGCAGTGAACACAAGAAGCAAAAGTCCTTTTTCTAATGGAGCTGCCATTCCTGTGGGAGAGACAAACAAATTAAAATAATGTCACACAGAAATAGCTATAGCCGCAAGTCCTATAAAGAAAAATAAGTAGGCCTGGCCAGCTCGGCTCAGTGGTTAAGCCAAGAGATCACTGTTCAATTCCCAGTCAGGGCACATGCCCAGGCTGTGGGCTTGATCCCCAGTAGGGGGAGTGCAGGAAGCAGCCGATCAATGACTCTCTCTCATCATTGATGTTTCTTTCTGTCTCTACCTCTCCCTTCCTCTCTCTGAAATCAATAAAGATATATTTTAAAAAAGAAGAAGAAAAATAAATAGGATAGTATGTTTCCATTAGTACCAATATAAGCCCTAGCGACTGACAGATGATGAGGTTTCAAGAACTACACTTACTGTGACATGTAACTTTTGGACTGGATAAGTGTGACTGGTTGAGTGCCAAGAATACATGCATGCACACCTCTCAAATTGAAGAAGATGCCTCATGAACTATTAATAAAACAAACAAACCAAGAAAGGAAAAAACCCACCAAATTTTTTTGAACACATTTATAATGTGTTATTGTAGATTAATTCTTAAGTAACTACGGCAACAGATAATTCCTTCCGTCAATAAATATCCAGGGAGCTTCTTTTGAGTAAAGATGCAACATTCTGGGGGGGCTGCTATGGCCATAAATCCAAGAATAACCTTTGCTTTTCTGTATTATGGAAGGAACCGTGGTTGTTCGGGCTGTTGTCTGTCTAGGTGTAGAAGCAGTACTAGGTAATGGTTAAGAGCTTCAAGTGTCAGAGACACCTGGGGATTTAAGTCCTAGGTCTGCCAAATATTAGCTGTGTGGTGTTGAGCAGGTCACTTAACCTATGTCAGTGTCAGGTTCCTCATCTGTAACATGGGTTTAACTGTAACTGCCTTAGAGGATTGCTGTGAGGCTACATGGTCTGGAACATGGTAAGCAACACTATTACAAAGAGAACACAATCAATAGCATCATCTTTAAATATTCAAAACATGTCACCTTTCAGCCAAAGGCAGATTAATAACCAGAGTAGAAAATAAACAAAAGCAATTAGTCAAGTCACATACTTCTAATTTTCTGGTTAATTCAAGACTGACACCATGACTTCTCCATTTAGAAACAACCAATGAAATAAGTTTTTAAGAGATATCTAGGAGTGCTTAGGCAGAAAAAATAGTTCTAGACTAAAAGACCTGGTTATATCCTAATTACCTGTATGACTACTGGCAATTTACTTAACTTTTTATTCATAGGTCTAGTAAAATACTTATATCTCGTTATAATTTCTCTCCATGCACTTGTCTTCCCTTACGTAGGGAAGATCTCTACCGCAGGATCCATACCTTTGGCGTCTTTGCACCTTCACCGCAAGTAATGGCCCCAGAGTAAGGATCCAGTAATAATGAGTTGCTGTCATCCTGATCCAGCTCTAAGAGTTTGCAAAACTCCAGGACAGAAATTCAGTGAAAGAGCGAACACCTCAACTGGCTGTCAATTTATGAGAGCGACCCTTAAATCCATAATCCATGACCCATCTGCCCGTTCGCAGAAATGCCTAGTTTCTTTGCCTACCGAGCTCAACAACACCTACCACAACAGACAGACATCACCTCGTTTTATGAAAGGTCTACTCCGTGTTTTAAAAAGCTATCCTATACTTAAGTCTCTCGAGTTTGATTCGCCAATTAATCCCTAAGGGATCAGACGGTGTGTTCCCCTCTGGTATTCTTTTTTTAAAATCTTTTTAAAAATATTTTTTCATTGACTTCAGAGAGAGAAAGGGAGAGAGAGAAACATCGATGAGAACCACTGATCGGCCGCCTCCTGCGCGCCCCCTGCTGGGGATCGAGCCGCAACCCGGGCACGGGCCCTGACGGGGGCTGACCCGGGTCTCCGCCAACCGGGTGGACGCCGAGCCGCTGAGCCGCGCCCGCAGGACGGCCCCTCAGGGTCTGTGTTTACCTCGGCCGCGCAGGAACCGGGCCTGACCTCCCCCCGCCCACACCTCCCGCAGTCCCTCGGCGCGTGGCCTCGTACCTCGCGGTCGCCGCTCGCCTTGGGCTCCGGGTGCACAGCGAACCCGAATAGGACCTGCTCGTAGCAGCCCGCGACCAGCTCCATCCAGGACACGTGCCGCCGCCGCGAGCCGCGCTCGGCGTAGGGGGCGGAGACTACGGCGGACGCGAGGGGAAGGGGGTCCTTCCTCCGCCGGGGCTCGGAGAGACGTCACGGCCACGGGACTGCCAAAGCGCCTGCATCCTTGAAAACGGCTTCAGCGCTCGAGGATCACGCGAGAGTTTCAAGCGAAGAATAAGGAAGGACGTCACGTGAGGAGGTTCTCATCGCTATGAGAAAAAAAATTGGGGTAAGCAGGCATATTCTAGGAAGCTGCGAGCTAGGCGCGTCTGAGGGGGTGGGCGGGACATCCTGGGCGGAAGCCCCTCGTTTCCGGAACGTGTGAGGAAGGGGCGGGCCAGCTTCCGGCCTGGGCGGGGCCCCGGCGGCGGGGTGGTGGCGGTTCGTGGGGACACGTCTCTGCCGTGGGCTGTGACACGCGGGGAGGGCATTAGGTCTCCTTTTTGTGCAGGAAGCGGTGGAATGAGCCTTTTTCTCTCTCACGCTGGCTCAGCGGGGCAAAGAGGGCGCGGGACTTGGGGCCTGCGCAGCTCTCCTCCCTGCTGGGCTCGCGTGTCCGACGCCGGGCCGGGCGGCCGGCGTCGCGGCGGG